ATTAGCGCTGCTTAATAGTCAGCTTAAATAAAAGCAATCGTTTAACGCTTAGAGATCAAGCAATCGAGCTCGTAAAAAGACGTAAAGAATAGTTTTACGTCTTTTTAGCGAGCGATCATATAAAAAGCGTGTTCGAAAACGCCGTTGATTTTAAAGTTTTTATTGATTTTATGCTTAAATGTTTAGCGAAAGCGTTTAACAAGTAAAAAAAGTTCTACGAAAGCGATATCGGTTGATATAAGCTTACGGTTTATTTAAGATATTGATTTAGCGTAGTCTTTAAAAAAAGTGTTTTTCGTAAAGCGAGCGAGTAACGGCTTTACGAAAAGGTAAATAAAAGAAAAAGGTTTAACGATTTTAAAAAAAGAAGCAAAAAGAAAACGATTTTAAAAAGAAAAAGAGCGATTCCGAAAAGAAGAAAGTGATTTTGCGATTATTATTGCTGCTTGATCAGCTCGTGAATTATAATTTATAAGTGAATTAGCGTCGTAAGCTTTTTAAAAGCGGTTTAAAGCTCGATTACGCTTATTAGCGTCGTGTTAATGACGAGCGTTTACTTTACGCTAATTAAAGTGCGTAATCTTAATAAGTTTAGCGTAAGTAACGGTCGGAAAGTTAAAACGAAGCTAATAAAGCTTGCGGCGAGCGCAGTTAAAAAAAATTTAATACTTAACTAGCTATGCTCGTCCGAAAATTACGTTGTGATTTTTAAAGTTAATAATAAGAAAAAGAGTAAAAGATTAAACGCGCTTATTAACCGTAAGGTTAAGAAGTGCAAAATATAAGATAATAGCTCTACGAGCTTTATTATATGATTTAATAAAAAATAAAGCCGAGAAGAGTTAAATTAAAAGTTTAAAAAAGAAAGAAAGTGATTTAAGTAGCGCTAAGTTAATTAGCGCGTACTTATTAGCTTTTAAATCGAGCAAAGCAAATACTTTATACGAAAAGCTATTTTTAATAAAAGTAACGGGTATAATCATAGCTTTACTACTAAGAAGCTTCGTAAGGTCGAAGTATCGCATGTCTCGAAGCTAGCTTAAAAAAAAGGCTTTGCTTAAGCCTCGACGTTTTTTTTATTATCGAAAGCGTCGGAGTTAATAAAAAAGAGCTCTTAATAATCTTTAAGAGCATCGGAGTAAAGCTTATCGTCCGAGTCATCCGAATAAAAGCCGTATTCAAGTCTAGCGCCGTATTCTATTTCGTTGATTAAGTAATAGCGAAAGAGCTTTAGCGTATTCGAGTCTTTGCGAGACGATCTAAAAGTCTTGATCGCTGATTTAAAAGCGTTTCCGAAAGAAAAGAATTTATTAAATCGATTAAATCGATTTATACTAGCGCTAAAGTTATTAAAGGTTTAGCGTTAAAAGGTAAAGAAAGAAACGAAAGTTAAGCTACTTTAGCGGTTCTCGTAGTAAATGATTTGCTTGACCGCTGCTTTTTAAGCCGAGCGGGATTCGTTACGAGCTTTATTATAAAAGCTCTTCGCGAATTAAGTATTATACTTAGCTTATAAAGCATCGTAAAGCCTTGCAAACGCGTATTAGCTAACAGCTAATTGTTAGACGGCGGTTTGAAAGTCTTTAAAGGTTGTAATCTTAGCAAATTCTAAATAAAGCTGGTCGCGCAGCGTCTTAATGATCTTAAAACGCAAAGCCTTACGTAATCGGTCTTCGTTTTTAATTTCGGCGATAATAGCAAGCTCCGAGAAAACAAAGTAAAAGTCTTAGAATTGCTAGTTAAGCTTTATATAAAGTTTTTCGAACTCAATTAACGCTTTAACTTTCTTAACGAAGTCGTTTAAAAACTCGAAAGCGATTTAAACGAGCTCCGAAGTGGTTATAAAGTTGCTACGATCTATAATTAAAAGGGCTAAGAACAAGTAAGCTGTTCTTTCGGTTTAATTAAAGACGTAATTCTTACGCTAGCGTTTTATAAAGAAGTATTCTTCGAAAGCTTTTAAATTGTTAAAGACGCGGGCTTGCTAATAACGTGCTCGATAGCTTACACCGTTTAAGAGCTTCTATTTAAAGTTAAAGATTCGCTCGATACGAGCCCGACCTTAAAAAGCTAAAGATAAAGCTTTAAAAGTGTTGAACCTAGCTAAAGTACGAAAGTTAATTAGCTTGTGAAAAGAAAGTAGTTTATCGTCGTCGGCGAAAAAGCGACGAAGGTTAGCGATTTTATAAGTAAAAAGAGTGGTCTAGAAGATCGAAGGCCGGTATAGCTTTTTACTTTTAGAATTATCTTCGAAAGAGACTTAAAAAGGCTTTGACGAGCGTTCCGTAATTAGCAAGACCGCTTAAAGCTAGTCTAGTTCTTTTCGAGCTCGACGGGCTTTTTTTTCAATCTTTTCGACGAAAGTTTTTTGTTCGCTAGCGCTTTTATCGAGCTCTTCGTTACGGATTTTCATGTTTGCGAAGAGCTTTCTAAGCTCAGCGGCCTTTCGTTAAGACTAAAAGAAAGCTTAATATTAAGCTAAAGCTTCTTCGAAGTTAATAAAAGCCGAAAGATCATTTTTATCGTCTTGCTTACTAGTAGCTTCTTCTTGAGTAGAAAAGACTATTAGTTAAGCCGTAAAGAAAGAAGAAAAAGCTGCTAAAGCAGCTTTAAGAGATGTGCGAAAGATTTTGCTCGCGAAGCGAAAGTTGCTATGTTGTGTAAGTGCTATCTTTTAAATTGTACTTAGAATAAGCCTTCTCGTGACCGTTAAAGTCGTCTGAGTGTTTTTAACGTCCAACTATTAAAGAATTCTAAAAAAGAATATTATTAAAGCCGTTCCCGGCGGAGTAAAGTAGTTATTAATAATGTGACGACCTTAAGCGATTACTTAAAAGAACTTACGAGAGCGCGAAGGTTTATATAAGAGCTTAAAAGAATCTCAAAGTAATAACTTAAAATCAATAACTACCGAGTGTAAAGGTCGAAAGTAGCTGAGGTCTATATATACGAAAGTAAAAGCGCTAAGGACTCGTGAACTATAGTTCATAGGTCAAAAGCGAGGAATAAGAGAATACGAAGAATACGAAAGAAAAAAGGAGGGAAGTAGCTTGGCGCATGTGAGGTGCGTCCAGGAGACCTGGCGTGTCGTCACATGATTAAAAGAATTACGTGCACTAGCTAACTAAAAGGTTTTATAATCAAATTAAAAGTCTTTTGATTAATATAATATTTTAAGCGAAGCATGCTAACTGACCCGTGAATTATGGTTCACGAGTAAACTCTTCTTTTAATTACTATTACCGGTGTTCTTAATTAGCTAGCTAAGGTCGATATAGATATATTAATAATAATAAAAAAATTAAAGATATCGATAAAAAAGAATTCAATTAATTATTGCAATTAATTGTAAACAAGTAAATATAAAAACTTAATAATATAAAAAAAGCAATTTAGTAAATAAAATTAAAGTCGCTAATTATAAAACTTAGCAGAAGCGATACTCTTTGCAATTAAACGCTTGATTCTAAAAGAAGCTTCTTTCTTTTTATCTTATACTAATCCCGCTTTATTATCTTTTTTTTCTTTTATTCGTTTGCGCTTTAAAGTTGATAATAAATTTGTAATTCGTTCGCTTATAAAAGTATTAGATTTAAAGTCGTTAAATTTATATATAATAATTAACTTATTTTGACTTTGAATAACGATTGAAAGAGTTTTAAGTTTCGAAATATTAAGTTTCGAAGTTTAAACGGCATTTAAAGTTTTATAAGATAGCGAAGCCGAGTCCGGTATTCTATCAGCTTCTTTTCTACTTATTATCTTTTTATCACTTTGCTTAAGGCTTGATATTTCTTCTGCGTTAAAATAATTTTGTTGAGAAATATCATTCGAATCGTTTTGATCGCATAAATTTGCTATCGCTAATATTTAAGTTAGAATTTATATTTAAATAAAAGCGTATATTATATAATATCGTACTTCGTTGCATTTTATTTTTATAGTTTATATAGCGTTTAAAGCTAGTCGATTCGTTTGTACTGTTCGAATCTGAATTTTCTGAATCGTTTTCGTTTTTTATATTATTGTCACCAACGGTGACCCAAGATAAATTCCAGTAGTTGTGGTGGTGATGAGTAATCCAAGGGTTGTGGTAGTGATTAGTCATCCAATCACGTGAGATTATTCTATACGGATCTGGCAGGATTTGTGAGCGTGCCAAGACTTTTATTCCATGTCAATCTATTGAACTTTTTTCGGAACGGGTCGGCCCGAATTAAATATGAAACACAGCTAGGCTTAATTCAGCCACCGCCATCAATTCTGCCGTACGTAAGGCTGCCATACGTAATTTACGTAAGGCTGCTATACGTAACGCACGTCGCTGGCACTGCCTTACGTAATACGTAAAGCACTGCAGCTAAGCTGCTATACGTAGCTT